AAAAAAAAAAAAAAGTTTTTATTTTTCTCTTGACTGGGTCAAATTACATCTAGATAGCTACAGCTACGTAATACACAGAAGAACTGCAGAATCACACGAATATTTTAGCTCTTGATATGACGCTACCCGTAGGTTTGCATTTCTTGACGGTTTCCACGAGTTGGTAGGCTTGTTCGCCTTCTAAAGAATTGGTGAAACACTCATATTTTCTAAGTATTCATCAAAAGTCGACATAAATTTACCTAGCACCTTCACTTTCTAATATAGAGCTTCGTCGCCCAGGCTTTGGGACACGAGGTTCTCACAAGATTTTCCTCCACGGTTACAGTGTAGCGGATTTGGCTTGTTTGGCTTTGATTTGGAAGCATCAAACTGCCGGGAGCTGTCATACATTATTGCGGTCTCTGGCTAAAGTAAACTAGATTCCGTATACAAGAGGCAGACCCGAATTATGATTGATTTAAAAGTATTCTTTCATTAATTTTGGGGTCAAAAATTTGTTTTGGTAATTTGTCAGAAAATAAATACATGAAACCCTCCCCCTCCTTTCCTAGCGCACGCACACCTTGGCGAACTCGCCCTCCCCTGTCAAGTCTCACAGGTTCAAGCTTCTGTCATTAAGGGGTTTAGGGGGGTGGTTTGTTTTTGCAAATTAATTATCTGTGGAGTCAGAAATGTCAGTCCTGTCACTCCACCAGCGCATAAAGCAGAGGAGGCTGCAGGAGTTCCGATAGATCTGACTGCTTGAGTGGTCTCTGAAAGAGGGTTCATCACAGCCCTCCCCGCCTCCCCCTGTCCCACCAGCTTAGATTCATGGCCTCTGCAGGCTCCCTGCTTCCTACTCATGGGGATCCTGTTCCTCCCTTCCCCTTCCCTTACAGCAGAACCTATCTCTGCCAGACAGCCAGCTCTGAGACCCCACGTCCACAAGCAGCCCGAGAAGACTACCCGTGTCCGGACTGTCCTTAATGAAAAACAGCTTCACACCTTGAGGACCTGCTACGCTGCAAACCCCAGACCTGACGCCCTCATGAAAGAGCAACTGGTAGAAATGACTGGCCTCAGCCCGAGGGTCATCAGGGTTTGGTTTCAAAACAAGCGATGCAAGGACAAAAAAAGGAGCATTATGATGAAGCAACTTCAGCAGCAGCAACCCAATGACAAAACTGTAAGTGGTTTCAGCCTCTGACCGTGCGCTGCCTTCCTTCCCAAGGAGAAAAGCCTGGGCTATGTCCAGCCCGGCCAGCCTCTGGGGTCGGTTTGACGCTTTTTATTTTGTGGGAGCTCCCTTAAGACAAAGCAAATGATGCCGTTTAACTATTAGGCGCTTGTTTCTACTGTCAGTGCGATTAAACAGACCACAGAGAGAAGCCGTTATAGGCAGCTCAAGCTATCACGTCTTTTTGTGGTGCTAAGGATATGCAGTGGATTAGACTAACTTCACTGCAGCATGAATTGCGACCTGCCGAGCTTATGGGATGTAATAAACCAACCTTGTGTAATATTTATATTGCAAATGCAAAGGTCTCCTTGAGGGGAAAATAACGTTTTCGCCCTCTTCAACGGTTTTACACAGGAGTAAACCTAGAAGTAAAACCCATCAGTAAAAAAGGAAATTTGGTGCATTTTCTTAGCACTTTATATACTACAATGTGCATGTACATTTGTCAGTGCACTTACTGTAGAAAAAGGCAAATGCAACGCAAAGTTTTTGGAATTGCCATCGTGTTTACAGGTTACTTAAAACATATATAGTTCTCGCACAGAAATACATTGAGCTTTTGTCTGCGAGCATATGCACGTGTGATGTAAATAAGTGGAAAGCGCTGAGTTCAGCAGAGCAAACTGGCTGTCTCCATTTTATTTTTTTTTTTTTTTTTTTTTTTTCCCCTTGTTGTTGTTAGTCCACTTGAAGAAGAGTCTGTTATTCCTCCTGTGTATATTGACTGACCTGAGAATGACTATTAATTCATAAGGCTGCCTAGTTAAGTGGAATTTAAGGAGTTTCATTTTACCCTGTTGGAATGCAATAAAACACGATGTTATTAACCCGCCTGAACAATCTATTCGTCGAGGCTTGGAGTTATTTTGTACACAGTGCCTGCACCACAGGGCATACTGCGAAGGCTGAGGTGTTTTTTTTGTTTTGTTTTGTTTTGATTTTTGGTTGGTGTTTTTGGTTGTTGGTGGGGGTTTTTTGTGGGGTTTTTTTTGTGGGGTTGTTTTGTTGTTTTTTTTTTTTAAGAGAGAGGTACTGACGTACCCCAGGTTTGCTGTGCAGTGGATATCCGATCCAGTTAAGGTCAAGCAGAACAAAACCAGCCTGAATGCAAAATAGAAAGGCGGTATGATTAACCATTTCTTGTGCAAGCCGTGCATCAGCAGCCAAGATACAGAGTGCTCGTGTTTAAGAAAGCTTGGGGCGGAGGGGTTATGCCTTGAGAGAAATAGGAGGATTAAAGGGAAAGAAAGTAAACTTCCACCGTGATAAATGCAGTGGGTAGAAACAGGCTGACCTAGAGTAGAATAGAGTAAGACATTCACAGCAGATTAACAAAGCAAATACAAGCGACTGTATAGATAAGATAGAAAGCCGTTTATTGACTCAGCGCTTATATACAATAAAGTTAACCAAGCTCATTAACATCTTTGCTGGGCTGTTTACAGAATATCCAAGGGATGACAGGAACTCCGATGGTGGCAGCTAGTCCGGAGAGACATGACGGTGGTTTACAGGCGAACCCGGTGGAGGTGCAGAGTTACCAACCGCCCTGGAAAGTACTGAGTGACTTCGCATTGCAGAGTGACATAGACCAACCTGCTTTTCAGCAACTAGTAAGTCTCTGTTCTCAACCGGAGCAGACCAGCCTGTACCCGGGCCAGAGTAATGGGGGGATTCACTAAACATGCCGGATGCCCTCAGAGAGATGAGCAATTCAGACTAGCTGGGTTTTCCTGAAATTGCAAGGTGAGCCTGGTGGCACCCTGTAAATGTGGCAAACTGAACTGATTTAATAGGGCTTGGTGCAGAATCTACCTTAGTGCACAGCAGAGCTCTTGCCAGGTTAAGTGGAAGCTGGATAAGGCCTGACCCAGGTCTGAGACTAACTCAGATCACACACTCTTGAAAAATGAAAGCATCTTTATACAGCGAACTATAACATTCTTCACATGTCATTTAATCGTGTGTACATTTGAGAAAGCAGTTTCTAAAATTCACCTCTACCACCTTTGGACCGACTTTGCCTTTACACTGTAGGGTGGATTTTAAATATATTATTGCAATGTCAGCCTGTGCCCTTGTTTTGTCACACAAACATGAGCACCTTAATTAAGTTTTTGGAGTCCTTGCTTTAAGTATGTACCTCCACGTATAACTTTATCTATATATACATATATACACACAAGAATATAAAACTTACACTAAAAGTTGTTCGTTAGAAAGAAAATTATTAATAAATATTCTCGTGAAAATCTCACAGTATAATAAACTGCCTTAAACAGAAAGAAAACAGACCTTTTAGAATGAATTCTGTTCTTAACTCCCTTATGCCTGTCATTTGGCAGTTCATATGGGACCATATCATCTACAATACACAAGCCCAACAAGGTGAATTAAGGACAATTTCCTTACCTAAGTGTGTTAAAACCAGATCTTTAAAATAAAAAGATATGTGTGTGTGATTCAAAATAATGCGAAGTGATGAAAAATTAACATATAGTCCCTTTTTGATCCATTGGGCATTTTTTTGACATGGAAGATAGAGGTTTGTAACCATGTCTGGAATTGTTTTCAGACCTTTTCAGTTCAGTGTCACACTCTCTTGCAGGATTGCTTTTCTTTTGCCCTGTGGCAGGCTGCAGCATACTTTCCTCCCCTGGCACACCATGCTTGCTTGGGAAGCTGTAGCACAGCAGCAGGGCTGTTTGCATCATCTTACCTCTTAGAGCAACCACTGGTATTCCTGCTTTAATCAAGCTGTCAAGCATACACAGGAAAAATTGATCTCCTTCGGCTGCCTTACTTGTTATGCCTTAACAGAAGACTTAAAAATCCTCTGATGCAGGGAATTTTTGTACGGAGTAGTTCTAAAAAATACTAACAAAACAACCCAAACCAAATAACCTGTGGAATGGAAAATGAATAGTCCAAATAAACACATGCATATGGGTAGGTATATCATTAGGTAAACAGATGAGCATTGACATATATGGGTCGTAATGTCTGATACTGAAAAGAGTTAAAGAATTGTAGATGGAACAGACAGTTCAACGACTGTTCAAGGCACATCTGTAATCTGGAAAGGGCCTTAATCTCAGGATTGGCCAGCTAAATAGGTGCCAAAGAAATGCTTTTGGATCAGCAAAGCTTCACCCTTCAAATCATGTCTTTTCCCAATGCTGCTCCTAAACTAACGGGAGCCACAGAGCACATTAGGATGGAGAAGTGTGACCTTTTTTATCAAACTGACTTGTTAAAAAAAGATAGTACCCGCTTCACATCACAAATGAAAGAGGATGGCTAGTTTCAAATGTCTTCTGCTCCTGGATGCTCCTTCCAGGTTTATTTTAGTATGTGCACAAAAGGGGGGAAAAGTCGTGATGCAGTTTCGTGTCAAAAAAATCACATGCCCTCTTAAATAATTGACTAGAACATCCTGTTGGGATTGCCACTCTTGCAAGACAGGGAAGAAGGCCTCATTAGTAAGTTTGTTTGTTTACTTGCTTGATTATTCGGTCTTTTTTTTAGGTTGTGTGGTGGGGTTTGGGGGTCTTTCTTGGTGTTGTTTTGTTTTGTTTTTTCTTCTGTGATTTGGCCAAAGGCCTGAAGAAGATTCCTGTGAAGTCAATGGGGAAACTAAACAAAGCAATAGTGACACAGCCTTCCCTGGAGATGTATCAGGCTGTTTGGCTGCATGCCTATGTATTTATTTTTGCTTTTTTTTTTTTTTTTTTTTTTTTTTTTTTTTTTTTTTTGGCAGGTTAATTTTTCAGAAGGAGGACCCGGTTCCAATTCTACTGGAAGTGAAGTAGCATCAATGTCTTCTCAGCTGCCAGATACACCCAACAGCATGGTAGCCAGTCCTATTGAGGCATGAGGGACATTCATTCAGATTTCTGTGTTGTTGTTTCTGCCCTTACCCTCATACTTGTTGGAGAGAGTGTGAAAATGATCGCGTTGGGACTCCGAAATTTAGGGGAAAAAAGTATTTAACAACCCTTTAATGAAAGCAAGAAACTGCTCCATGAAATGAACGGAGTCATGTTTGAAAAGACAAGGTAATATGGTAGCAACACTGTGAAGACAATCATGGGATCTTACTAGAATAAATAAAAAAAAAGCAAACATAAAACAACTAAAAAAAAAAATCAAAAAAACAAACAAAAACCCACAAAAAAAAAAACCACAAAAAAACAAACAACCAAACCCTGCGCTGTTCAATGATCAGAGGAAGATCGAAAAGACATTTTCAAAACCTAAAGGATTTGTACTCGTGGATCTCAAAAAAAAAAAAAAAAAAAAAAAAAAAAAAAAGGAAAAAAATATCTTTTTATTTGACTGCACGTCTTAGGGAGAAACCAAGGTAGAGGGACTTTCTACCCAGTCCCTCCCAATCCGAATGGTGCTGTTTCTATATTGGGGATTGCCCTGCCAAAAGGAGCTCCAGTAGGTTTTCCATCAACAGAAAAGAGACGATTTAGCCCTGCATTATTGAAAGATTCATTGCAGGAAGGTGGAGCTGCATTGATTTGCAATGTTGTTTTTAGTTGACTCTTAACAAGAGGTTGCTTCCTGGGTCTCTTCGAGCATGTACTGTAGCGGGGTTTTGGTTTTGTTTGGTTGCGATCCACCCTCTATCAAGTCTGAAGCTATTAAAAATAGGTTTTTGAATTTCTCTTTAAAAAACAGTTTATAAAAGCATTGCAACAAGGTATACCTCTATTTTGCCACAAAGCGTCTCGGGATTGTGTTTGAAATGTGTCCGTCCAAGAACCTTCCCCTCCCCCAAAGATGTGTATAGTCATTAGTTAAAACGACTGTTTTCTCTCTCTCTCTCTCTCTCTCTCTCTCTCTCTCTCTC